CCTGGAAGCCGTGCACATGCAGCCAGATTCCCTGCGGTAGGAAGCGGGGGCGGAAGAGCTGGCCCGGCGCGCACTCCTCGTAGTCCCGCTCGTCGTCTGCGTGAAACTCGAAGGACACGATGGTGGCCCGTTGCTCCTGCACGAGCCCCAACTTCTTCTTCAGCTCCTCCTGCACGGCCGTGAACCGGACCTCCATGCCGACGTGTGCCGGTAAGACGCCGTGGATGTCCCCCGTCTTGTGCATGTTCGGGACGTTCAGGAGGCGCCGGCCTGCGTCTGGTTCGCCTTGAATCGTGCCGCACTCGTCTACGGCCTGCAGGAAAACGAGGGGGACGCCGAGGCGCCGCGCGTCGCGACGAGCGCGCGTGTTGATCCACCTCGCCAGCGTCTCCCAGTAGATGCCCATGCCGTAGCCGAGCCGAAAGTTCTCGTGCTGGTGCCGAGGGTCCAGGACGCCGTGGTTGTCAGAGGCCAACGTCTTCTCCCAGGCAGACCAGACCTCTGGTGGGAAGCGCTTGCCCTCGCGCATGCAGCCCAAGAACGCGATCAGAGGGTCCCCCGGCTCGAAGCGCTTCGTGCCCTTCAGCTCGAAGACGCAGGGGATCTGAGAGAATACCCTGATGGCGTGCTGGATCTCCACCGTCGGCGGCTCCGCGTACTTGTACGACCCGTCGTCCAGGAGCTCGTTCACGTCCGTCAGGAGCCCGATGTTGCCTCCGCCTGCCTCCTCGTCATCCTCCTCCTCCTGCTGCCTCCTATCCTCCTTGTACCTTCCTCCCTTGTCTACCCCTTCTCTGAATGCATCCGATTTCGTACCCCCCTCCTTTCCCTGTCGCACACATTCGTCCGGCCTGAGGAGAGGACCTTCGCACGCTTAGCCCCTAGCAACGTCCGCCCGACATCGCCGATGTTGACGTTGCTGCCCCTCCTCTTCCTCCTCCTCCTCCTCCTCCTCCTCCTGCCCCTCCTCCTCCTCCTCCTCCGCCTCCTCCTCCTCCTCCTCCTCCTCCTCCTCCTCCTCCTCCTCCTCCTCCTCTTTCCTCCTCCTCCTCCTCCTCCGACCCCTCCTCACGACTCGGTCTGGCGCTGGCCCCCTCCCCCTCCTCCCCCTCCTCCCCCTCCTGCTGCTCCTCGCCTCCTCCTCCTCCTCCTCCTATCCTCCTCCTCCTCCTCCTCCTCCTCCTCCTCCTCCTCCTCCTGCTCCTGCTCCTCCTCCTCCTCCTCCTCCTGCCCCTCCTCCTCCTCCTCCTCCTCCTCCAGGACCCCCGGGCACGTGCATCTATGAAAAACTCTCTCAAATGCTAATTGTTTCATAATGAAAATAGGGCGTTGCGTCGTTTTCGTTCTCGAGGGGCCGCTTTCGTGACGCATGCCAAAGAAAAGCGTACATTGCGTTCCATCCCCCTATGGGGAAATTGCAAAATGTGCTGCTCGTCATCCGCAATCATCGATTTCAAAGCGTTTCGTGAGGGTTTTCCATCGAGCGCCCGCGCCAGGCTCAGCTCCGTTTCCGGCCAACGCGATTCCCCCCCCCGACGCCCGAGAAAAAAATTGCGCTAGTGACCCCTTAGTCCATTGAAACATCGGTGTTAGGAAAAGGGGGGGTCAGAAAAAAAACTGGAGAGGGGACCTTTTCAAGTTCCCTCTCCAGTTGGAACGCGCGGGAAAGTGAACCTTTGCAAGTTCCCTTTCCCGCTGCTGGAGAGGGAACCTTTTCAAGTTCCCTCTCCAGTTGGAACGCGCGGGGAAGTGAACCTTTGCAAGTTCCCTTTCCCGCTGCTGGAGAGTGAACCTTTGCAAGTTCCCTCTCCAAGGGAAAGTGAACCTTTTCAAGTTCCCTTTCCCGCGAATGAAGGGTGAACCTTTTCAAGTTCCCCCTTCACTCCGACGACAAGGGGGGACAGGGAACCTTTGCAAGTTCCCTCTCCCGCAGCTAGAGACGTCGAACCTTTTCAAGTTCCCTCTCCAGCCCAATCCTGCCACGAACGGGAAAGTGAACCTTTTCAAGTTCCCTCTCCCGCAGCTAGAGAGTGAACCTTTTCAAGTTCCCTCCCCAGCCCAAACGAACGCGGGAGAGTGAACCTTTTCAAGTTCCCTCTCCCGCCGACGACGACAAGGTTGGCCAGCAATTGGACGTGGGCAAGTCGAAAGAGAATATTCAGGCCGCAGGAGCGAGTTCCCCTTCGATCCTCCAAGTGACGACAAGAGACGGTCCTCAGACGGGACTACCCGCACCGCCCACAGACAAAGTTCCCGCTTGATGCTTCCCCCTTGTTCAGGCCGCAGGAACTGAGGAGCCCAAAAAGCTCGCTCGGATGACCCGCTCGGGTTCGAACATGAAGTGCGTGCCCCACAGGGATGGAGCGCCCGCCTGATACTTCTCCCATATTCAGGCCTCAGGAGCCCAAAAACGACGACAGTTACAGGTTTCCGATGACCCGCCTCGGATTGGTAAGATGATCTGCGGGCCCCATAGAGAGAGGCTCCCGCCTGAGACTTCCTCGCAATTCACTCACAGACAACGCTCCCGCCTGATACTTCCTCCAAATTCACGCCCCAGGAGCCCAAAAGTGACGACAGTTACAGGATCCCAATGACCCGCCTCGGATTAGTAAGATGATCTGCGGGCCCCATAGGGAGAGGCTCCCGCCTGAGACTTCCTCGCAATTCACTCACAGACGACGCTCCCGCCTGATACTTCCTCCAAATTCACGCCCCGGGAGCCCAAAAGTCACGACAGTTACAGGATCCCGATGACCCGCCTCGGATTAGTAAGATGATCTGCGGGCCCCATAGGGAGAAGCTCCCGCCTGAGACTTCCTCGCAATTCACTCACAGACGAGGCTCCCGCTAGATACTTCCTCCAGATTCACGCCCCAGGAGCCCAAAAGTGACGACACTTACAGGATCCCGATGGCCCGCCTCGGATTAGTAAGATGATCTGCGGGCCCCATAGGGAGAGGCTCCCGCCTGAGACTTCCTCGCAATTCACTCACAGACGGCGCTCCCGCTGAATACTTCTTCCATATTCACGCCCCAGGAGCCCAAAAGTGACAACAGTTACAGGGTTCCGATGACCCGCCTCGGATTACCAACATGAAGTGCGGGCCCCATAGGGAGGGGCTCCCGCCTGAGACTTCCTCGCAATTCACTCACAGACGACGCTCCCGCCTGATACTTCCTCCAAATTCACGCCCCGGGAGCCCAAAAGTCACGACAGTTACAGGATCCCGATGACCCGCCTCGGATTAGTAAGATGATCTGCGGGCCCCATAGGGAGAAGCTCCCGCCTGAGACTTCCTCGCAATTCACTCACAGACGAGGCTCCCGCTAGATACTTCCTCCAGATTCACGCCCCAGGAGCCCAAAAGTGACGACAGTTACAGGATCCCGATGACCCGCCTCGGATTAGTAAGATGATCTGCGGGCCCCATAGGGAGAGGCTCCCGCCTGAGACTTCCTCGCAATTCACTCACAGACGACGCTCCCGCCTGATACTTCCTCCAAATTCACGCCCCAGGAGCCCAAAAGTGACGACAGTTACAGGATCCCGATGACCCGCCTCGGATTAGTAAGATGATCTGCGGGCCCCATAGGGAGAGGCTCCCGCCTGAGACTTCCTCGCAATTCACTCACAAACGACGCTCCCGCTTGATACTCGAGTGAGTGACGGACTGACTGAGTGATGTGTGACGCCAACGGATGATATCCTCATGTGATGATCATGATGAGTGAGTGAGTGAGTGGGTGAGTGAGCGATCGAGTGGTGTATGGGTAAGTGTGATGGTGCTGAGGAGGAGAGGCGTGGGTCATGATGATGATGACTGATGATGATGATGGCGAGAAAGAGGAAGAGAGAGAGAGAGAGAGGGTGTGAGATCCTGCGCGGGGGGTGTGCAGAGAAAACAAGAACCCCACTTTGGATGTGGGGAAATACAGGCGCATGGCAAGGGCGGGAACGAGACCCACCAGCTGAGCCTGTGCTCGGGGGCGGCTAAGACCCAGACCCCCCCCTCGCGCTGTGAGAGAACATCGCGCCCGCAGGTTTTTCGCTGTTCTCGGCCTCCGAGGGCCCTCACCAGGCCTCGGGGCTGTCAAAAAGCGACTAAGGATGAAAAAGCCGGTCACAGGGAAGCGGTCGAGACCTCTGGGCGTCGACGTTGCGAGCATATCACGGCGTCGGGGGTCTGGGTTCTCGAGGGGGGCCAAGTGGGGGGTGACGACTAGGGGGGGGGATCTCAGGGCGGGCCATGGCATCTCCCCAGATTTCATGGCGCCTCGCCTTATTTCCATACGTCCCTGGCCCCCTTGGTATCGCTCGGACGTGTGCACTTTTTCTCGGCGGGGATAATTAAGGATCATCCTGCGAAAAAAAAACACGCACGAAGCCGAAACAAACATAGGGAATGGACGTCCGAGCGACGGGGAGCCCCCCCTGGGCCGCGCACGTGCCGCCGGGCATGCTCTGCGCCCCCCCCCCCCCGCCTGGACGCCCCGTCGTGGCCGCCCCCCGCTGTCCACTCTGAACAGGGCTTGCTGCCCGCGCCACCGCGGACGTGGCCCACAGTCAACCCGCATGGTGAGGACTGGGCCGCTTTCCCAAGGGTATCCTCGCATCCTTGCCCCTCCGGGCCAACCTCAGTGACTCTCGCTTGCCAGCCTCGCTCGAAAAACGCTAACATGGCCCCCCCAAGGCACCCGCCCCCCTTACCGCGCCAGGGTCGCCACCGCGCCGATACGCCACGGAGCCTTGGCAGGCGCACGCACCACGCACAGGCCCGCGGCTGTGTGCGCGGCCGCACCCCTGGATGCCAGGGTGGGGCGGGGGAGGCCTCCCTGCGCTTGGCCTCTCCGCCCATCACCTGCGACGGACGGGCTGACTGCAATCGAGACAGGAGGCCGCCTGCCCAGCCTCGGCCGCGGCCGGTTGTGGGCCGCACCCGTGGTCGGGCACTGTGCCCAGTTTTTGTCCGTGCATCCCTCGCGGCGGGCGTCCTAAGAGGAGGGCGCCGCGGCTGGCAGCGCTCGCTGCTGCAGCGAGCAGGGCGGCCAGGACTCGAAGAAGACCAAGACGCCACGCAGATATATGACCCTGTGCCCCCGAGAATAATCCCGGGGGATAAAAAAAGGTTCGTGGCGATCATAATCATCGATTCGTATTGCGAAGGCCTTACGGCCGGTGCCGCCGACCCTGAAGGGGAACGACGACGGCGGCGGCGGCGGCGGTAGCGACGACGACGATGCTGACGTGGGTTGAGTCCTCAAATGTGCTTCTTAGGGGTTTCTTCCGAGCGCTCTCCGGGGCCTCTGGGAGGATGTTTGGGGGCCTCTTGGGAGCCTCTCGGGGCCTCTTTTGGGCTTCCTGGGGGCCTCTTGGGGGCTTCTCGGGGCTGAGGGCTCGAAATGTCCGTTCGGGTCCCCCGGCTGGGCACTCTCTTGGAACCGTCTTGGGGGCCTCTTGTGCCGTCTTGGAGGCGTCTTGGGCCCTCTTGGGGCACTCTTGGGCCGTTTGGGGACTCTCTTGGAGGCCTCTTGGGCCGTCTCGGGGCGACCTTGGGGGCCTCTTGGGCCGTCTTGGCGCGTGGGGAAGCGGAAGAGGCGAAGACGCCAAAATTCTTGAAAAACGTATGGGAAATCCATGATTTTTGCCTCTTGGGGCTCTCGTGGGAACGGTCCTGGAGGCCTCTTGGTGCGTCTCGCAGGCCTCTTGGGCCGTCTGGAGGTCGTCAAGGCGTCTTGGACAGATCATTCGGCGATTCGGGGCCCTCTTGGATCGTCTTGGGGGCCTCTTGGGGCACTCTTGGCCCGTCTAGGGGCTTTTTTGGGCTCCAGGTTCCCCGGGGGTGCGGCGTAAAAACCCGGGACCCCCCCCCCCCCCCTGGGCGGGGAAGGGATCAAAGGGAAGGGGCCTCCCTTCGACTCAATTACGACGTTGCTCAATTTCGCTTTGGACTGACAGATATTCCCCCGGCGAAGATAAAGTTCGGCCACGCCGCCCACCCCCCCATGTCAAACAAGTGGAGGGCCAGAGATACTCAAGACCGGGGTGTGAAGGGGGGGTAGGCTTTATTATCCGGGGCACGGGGTTACACGGACACCCTCAAGAGAATGTTCTTGGGCCTCAGCGGAGGATGGCGTTGTAGGCATCTCCACCGGGAGCCAGCAAGTTTATAAATCGCCGCACTCCCTGGAGGCACAGGCAAAATCAGTCGGCTGGCGTCTGTGTATATGTTTTCCGTGGCGTGACCAAACACAGCAATTGTTGGAGCTCCGCGCGGATTTCTCGGATCGACGCTCGGGCCCCCCATGGCGGTGTTTCTTGCGCCGCCCCCGACGCGCTCCGCGCGCGAGGGAAGGAAGGTCCAGCGCCGACCCATGAAATCCGCTCGCACATCCAAACGTTTGTGTTCATGCATGTGCTCTTTGCCCTAGAGCATGGCGGCCAGGACTCGTCAGGGGGAATGCTATGGGGGGATCGCGGCCTTCCGAAGCTCCGAGTGTGCGGTATTTAGGCGCTGGAGTTCCGTGGGTCCCCTCCAGCAGCTGCGCCCTGCCGAAGGCGTTCCCGGGGTGCCCGAATCGTCGCGATCGGCCGCCGGAAGCCCGACGTATATGACCCGATCCTCCTCAGGGGCAGCATTAAGCGGGGGGAAGGCTCAGAGGGGATGCATCGACCAATCACCCATCGATCACCGTTAGGTCGGGCCTGTCCCTCTACGGGGGGAATGTTCAAAAATAGTCCAAAAATAGTCTGGGGACTAGACGATGTTCTTCAGCATTTTTCAATCATTTTGGAGTATCTTTTGAGTATTTTTTATTCTTCGTCCAAAATCCCCCTGTAGAGTCGGGGCGCTGGACAAGGAACCCTTTTCGTTGGGGAGGGGCTCCGTGTTCCTTAATTGTTTCGCAGCTTGCCTTAGTTTGTCCTTTGGTCTTCGATGGGGGATCGAAGTTTAACTTATGGGCAAAGGGGCCTCGTTCCTTGTTTGAGGGTCCTTAGGTCAACGCCCCCACTGTAGGGGGACGCGCCCGACGTAAGGGTACCAGCGCGCGCCCGGTGTAGCCCACCCCGCCCAGGAGCGCGCGGTTTCGCTGCCGGGGGCCATTCGCCGATCAGTATATGTCGGCGACGTAATCGCCGCTTCCAGGTCGGGGAAGCCTCCCCTGAGCCAGCCCCCCTAACGTTGCCCCTCCTCCTCCTCCCTCCTCCTCCTCCTCCTCCTCCTCCTCCTCCTCCTCCTCCTCCTCCTCCTCCTCCTCCTCCTCCTCCTCCCCCTGCCGTTTCTGCCGTTTCTCGCTGAGCCAGCGTCTGAGCCTCCTCCCCCTCTTCCTCGTCCTCCTCCTCCTCCTCCTCGTCCTCCTCCTCCTCCTCCTCCTCCTCCTCCTCCTCCCTCCTGCTCCAGGTCGGGGAAACATCCCCTGAGCCAGTCCCCCTAACGTTGCCCCTCGATCGGGGAAACGCAAGACCCGAGTGAGCCGGAACTCGGGTTGCCGACGTTTTTGATGACGAGCGCGTCCTGGGTTTTGACGGTCCAGTTTTCGTGGGATGTCTGCAGCGGGAGCTCGCGTCAAATTTCAGATCGGGCCTCGTCATTTGTATGATGGCCCCGTCGGGCCAACCCGAGTCCCCCGTACCCGAGTCTTACGTCTCCCCGACCCGACTCGACGAAAAACAATGATGGAGTAGTTAAGCTGAGGCTGCTTCGCAGTCGGCCGCGCTCGGTCGGCTCAGCTCTGTTGGCTTCTGCGGCGCCGCGCTCTACTGGGCTGCTCTCGGCCCGCCGGTCTCGGTTGGTTCTCGGGTTGGGTTTCACGGTCGGCTTGGGCGGCTGTTTGCTTGTTTGTTTATGTGTTTGTTATTTTGGTTGTTTGGTTGGTGTTGCTGTTGTTGCATGGCGTCGAGGAGAACCACTGCCTGCAAAACATATCCAGAGGTGTGCCGAAATGGAGGCGCCCAGGGTTCGCCACTGGGGCCTTCGACGGAGCTTCCTATGGGCCCTCGAAGCGTGTGCGGGGTGTGCCGTAGTCGATTGAGGGACGCACGGATGAGGATGATGGGATGATGGTGATGATGGAGGAGGGAGCAGGGGGAGGAGGAGAGGAGAGGAGAAGATAGGAGAGGAGAGGAGAGGAGAGGAGAGGGAAGGGGAGGAGAGGAGGAGAGGAGGACGCGGGGCGCTGTCTCTTCAAAACGAGGATCCGCCACCACAGGACGGCTGGGACAAAACATGATCGAGGCCCACGCGACTTCCACCATGGGTCGGAGGCTCGCGCGAGGTTCTTGGATCGGCGTGGGGGCCTTCCGGCGTCTCTTCCAGCAGCGCCCCGCCTCTCCGAGCGTTTCTGCGCCTGCTGCTCTTCAGGAGGGGAAAAACACACAGACACAAGTACGTGTCGACTTCCAAGAACATATGGGAAACGATGGGTGGAACGACGAACACCAAGAACACATGGGAACACGTGGGGGAGTCCTGGGATTCATGTGTGTAGTAATTTTCTGTGCTCCCGGGCCCCTTCAGCGCTTCCTCCTCGCCTCTGAGGACGCCCGGGACCCAGGGGCGCGCGGCGAGGTCGCGGGCGGCGGCGTCCCCAGCCTGGAGGCGCTGCTGCACGACCTGGACCGGGCCGACGCCCCCGGGGCCATGGACGACGCGGCCGCTCCGCCCCCCGCCGCCGCGCCGGCGGGCCCGCTGGAGCGGCTGAGCGACGACGAGCTCCTGGCCCAGTGCTGGAGCTCAGGGGAGGCAAATCGAAGAAGGAAGAACGCCATAGACGTAAACTTGTGGCGCTCCGCGCGGATCTCTTGGATCTGCGCGGGGCCCAGCGCGGATCCGAGAAATCTGCGCGGACTTCCAACAGTTTACGTTTGTGTCGTTTTCCGTTCTTCCAGAAAAAGGTACCCATACCGCTGCCCTTCCCTCGTCTTCCCTTTTGTTGGGGCCTCCTGTGAGGCCTTCGTCGCCGCGCCGGGAGAGCTCCAGGGAGAGTAGCGGTATCGGTTCCTATTCGTTTCCCCAGGAGCAGGGGGCTGGCGGCGGGCCCCGACACGCCGCGGGAGGCGGCCCTGCGGCTGCTGCGGGAGGCGCTGGCGTGGGAGGAGCTGCCGCCAGAGGCGCTGCGGGAGGCGGCGCGGGAGGCACAGCAGCCCCAAACATCCGAGGCTCCGACAGAGACTTGGAGCGCCGGGTGTCTGGTGTGTGTGTGTGTGTGCGCGTGTGTGTGTGTGTGTGTGCGTACATGTGTATGTGTGTATGTGTGTGTATGTGTGTGTGTGTGTCTGTGTGTGTGTCTGTGTGTGTCTGTGTGTGTGTCTGTGTGTGTGTGTGTGTGTGTGTGTGCGTGCGTGCGTGCGTGCGTGCGTGCGTGCGTTGCGTGTGCGTGTGCGTGTGCGTGTGCGTGTGCGTGTGCGTGTGCGTGTGCGTGTGCGTGTGCGTGTGCGTGTGCGTGTGCGTGTGCGTGTGCGAGTGCGTGTGCGTGTGCGTGTGCGTGTGCGTGTGCGTGTGCGTGTGCGTGTGCGTGTGCGTGTGCGTGTGCGTGTGCGTGTGCGTGTGCGTGTGCGTGTGCGTGTGCGTGTGCGTGTGCGTGTGCGTGTGCGTTTGCGTGTGCGTGTGCGCGTGCGAGTGCGCGTGCCCGTGCCCGTGCGCGTGTGCGCGTGTGCGCGTGTGCGCGTGTGCGCGTGTGTGCGTGTGTGCGTGTGTGCGTGTGTGCGTGTGTGCGTGTGTGCGTGTGTGTGTGCGTGTGTGCGTGCGTGTGTGCGTGTGTGCGTGTGTGCGTGTGTGCGTGTGTGCGTGTGAGCGTGTGAGCGTGCGTGCGAGCGTGCGTATGTGTGTGTGCGTGTGCGTGTGTGTGTGTGTGTATGTGTGCTTTCGTGCGTGTGTGTGCGCGCGCACCACCACGGCGCCTGGCCAGGGCCACCCTCGGCCATCACGTGCAGAGCAATTGCACGCCCTTCTGGCCGGGGCCGTGGGCATCCGATGTGCTATGCGCCGTCCCAGGGGCCAGAAGGGCCCTGGCCAGGTGTGGCGGTGGTGCACGCAGCTGCCCTCCGCGCGGAGGCCGCCGCCAGGGCGGCGCCCAGTGCCGCAACGGGCGGCGACCGCGACGCGCTGCTGCGGGCGCTGGCGGACGCGACCTGGGAGGCCGCCGGCGTGCCCAGGCGCCGCTTCTCGAGCGAGGCGCTGGCCTGCCGGGTGCTGGAGAGGGTGCGGGCGCTGCAGGTCGGTATCGTTCAACCGACCCTGATCCCCATCCCCGTCCCCAGCCAGACCCCCACCATCTCGGCACCCCAGTTGGGGATTGACCATCTGCCCCTCGAGACCCGCAAGAAACGGCTGCATCCCCATCTGGGGGGGGGGGCAAGGCGGCCAGTGGGCCCCAGGCCACGCCTATGGGGATAGGGGAACGGTGCAACGATGCTCAGCAGGCCATGGGCGCGACGCAGCTGCTGGCCGAGGGCAGGGCCTTGGGCGTCGCATCGCAGCCCAGCATGAGCCCGGAGGCCCTGCGCAGCCGCCTGGGCGCCGCTCTCGTGTGGAGCCACCTGCCGGGCGAGGAGCTCCTCCGGGAGTGCGAGCAGCGCGGGGTCGTCCTGCCCAGCTCGGTGGCCCTGGGGGCGCACGGAGCCCCCGAAGCTCTGTTCATTGCCGGCAGCTGGTCGGACTGGAGAGTTGCGAAGCTCAAGCGGGAGGGCGGCCCTGGCCACGAGCGCTTCGAGCACCTGGTGCCCATTGGCCCCGAGGGCCAGGAGAGCTTCCAGCTCCTCCTCGAGGGGGACTGGGACTGCACAGTCTACCCCAGCCAGCCTGGCGCGCACCCCGGCATGAGCTACGAGATCCTGGGCCCCGACCGCTGCGGCCACGGGCGGAACTGGACCATCGGCAGGCACGCCGCAGATGGCGCGAGGCACGGCGACCAGTTCCTGGTCGGCGTCTCCTTCGAGGGCGACCCCCGCGAGATGCGCGTGTCGTGGGCCGCGGCGTCCCGCGCCGCGGGGCGCGGCAGGAGCTCCGCGAGCCGGTTCAGCTACTCGGGCCAGCCGCAGGCCCCCCAGCGCTCCGGGCGGCAGCTCATCGTCCTCAGGCCGCCTCTCCTCTCTCTCTCTATCCCTCCTCCTCCTCCTCCTCCTCCTCCTCCTCCTCCTCCTCCTCCTCCTCCTCCTCCTCCTCCGGCCACGACGCAAAGCCCAGAGCTCCGACGATGTGTGTTTTTGTTCACCTGGTGTCTTTTTGCCAAGACTTCGGACCCGAGTGGCACGACAATGATGCCTTTCAAAATATCCTGGGTGCTTTCCCCACCCAGCGAGTCGCCAGAGAGGGTGCTGGCATGAAGGTGACAGCAGGACCACAGAAGAGCCCCACAGGGGGCCCAGAAGCCCTCCACCCAGCTCAGAAGGCGTTTCGCTCGAGACTGCATCACAACTTGTTCAGAAGTCGCGTTCTCGCCCTGACGCTGGCTGCATTTTGTGTAGTCTGGACGGCCACGAGCCCTTGTAAACAAGGCGCCAAGGTACACGTGGCCGTGCTCTCACCCCACTCCTGGCTGCTCTCACCCCTGCCCCCGCCGCTTCGCCTGTTCTGCTCTCAGTGTCTGCTGCTCGGGGAGTGTTGCTTCGCACGGGCACGAGGACCCCCCAGACCGTATCCTGAGCCAATCGCATCCTGACAGCATTCTCGCCCTGCATGGGAGGAAGGCGGGTCCTGGATGTTTCTGGTTGTGTCCGGGGCCCGAACACAACCGAACTTCGGGCCTCCTGCAGCCCTCCACGGGCCCCCTGGCCGCCAGACAACGATTCTGAGCGAAAGTGGGTGATTGTTTTCTTATTCGTTGTTTTGCCGATCGGCGCGGACCCTCGCACCCCTCCTCCCCCCCCACGTGGAGTAGACCTTGGCTGTTTTTGGCGCCTGTTTCGAGCAGGTGGATTCCCCCCCCATGGGACGCACTGGTGCAAAAACAGTCGCACCAAGCAGAGGTCCGGAGCCAGACCCCCCCCCTCCTCTAGTGCGTGCGCTCTTGGCGATGTCTCGTGTCATTCCTGGGTTGCCCAGTGGTCTTCTGTCTCACGTTGTGGAGCCATTTGTGCATGGAGGTCTTGAGGTAGAAAAAAAACAAACTTCCCGCCCAATGTCTCAACGCCGACTTGGAGGAAAACGCTCGCCTGGTTCTCGGAACGCAACAACGGCCTCGGCAGTCTGGGGTCCGGCCCGCTCCGTCTGGCGGTGCGCCGTGGCGGTGTGACCTATAAGCTTCTCCGCGATCGGGCCGCAGACACGCTGACGGGCCTGCAGGTATTGTCGGGATTGGACAGACCTCCCCTGACTTTTTTGGTCTGCGGGTCGAGAGCGAGCCTCTTCCGGTTAAGAGCTAGGCGGGCCGCGCAAGCATTAATTGGGGAGACAGAGCGCAGGCGGGCGGGGCCTCAGGCGGCCGCAGCGCGCGGGGTGCAGGCGGTGCTGAGGAGCTTGCACAGGAAAAGGTACACCTTGGACAGGAGCCGGAGGCGAAGTCCCAGAGGGTGAGCGGTGTGGTGTTGCCGTCGACGGACAGACCTCCCCTGACACGTCGATTAAGGAATTGGCCGTTTTCGATTCGCGAAGGGGCGTCGCGGCCGTCATTTTTTCGGGTCGAGGTCCGTCGGTTTCGGTCCCAGGCCGTTTTCACTAAGGGGAGGTTTACTAAAGGGAGGTTTGTCCAACGCCGATATTGGCGATGGAGGGTTCGGTATTGTATGTGGGGTTGGTGCGTGGCCAGACCACTTGTACGAAAGCGTGGCTCGCGCTGTCCTGCACTTCGCCGTGGCGTTCTCGTTCGGCACACTCGATTATCTGAAATGAAGGATCGGTTGGTCCGTGAATTCGTGCAGAGTGTTCTGCGCGAGTATGGCGTCGCAGACATCAGATTCCCAACAGCACCGTTAGCCAACAGCGCCATCAGCCTGGCCTTGGTCAGGGGCGTCAGTCCTGGGCGGCTGGAAAGTTTGTACCCCCGCCTGCCACCATAGGGTTAAGTCGGGCCTGTCCCCCTGCAGGCCGATTTTGGATGAAAAATTAAAAATTCCCCCCCAAACAAATACCCCCAAAATGTGCAACAATTGTCATACAAAAAAGTCCCCAGGCTATTTTCTGACTATTCTGGAATATCCCCCCTGTAGAGGGACAGGCCCGACTGAACCGTAGGGGCACGAAGCCTCCAGCCGCCCTGGGACCGGCGGCCACGACCGCGGCACAGAGTGCACGCGATGCCGCTCTTCTCCGGCCGTGGATGCGTGGGGCCCGCTCTTCCCTCGTTCAGGAGGGGCAAACAGACACAGACAAAATTAATCGTCGAGTTCCCCTCCAATATATAGGAAAATATGGGAAGTGGGGGTGAAGATGAAAACCCAGAAAGTATGGGCAAATATGGGGAATCTGGTTATTTGTGCCTATTTATTTGTGTGTCCCAGGGACCCTTCAGTGGGGCCTGCTCTTCCCTCGTGTCATCAGGCTGCTGGCCCAGAGGGACCTCGTGGCCGGCTGGGAGGCCCGGGGGGTGCCCGTGGACCGCTTCCGCGGGAATCTGTCCGCCGCCAGGGCGCTGGCCGAGCAGTACAAGCTCGTCGACCAAACGAGCACGGAGGACCTGAGCAGGTGGTACTACAGCAACGAGGGCTTACCGAGGCTGCAGAAGAAGCAAGCGCACAGCACACGATCGTGTTACAGCCGGCCCGGATGAGCAGGTCGACCCTGCCAAGTCAAGGGTACCCTTGTGTCCTGTGTCTCGCGACGCGTGCCTCCTGCACTCCCTACGGCGGTGTGGATCTCGGAAGGGTTTTGTTGTCCTCTTGCGTGTCCTGTCCAATGCGGTATCGCGCCTTTGCTTGCTTGTCGCTGTATAATTTGTAGGGACCGCGCCCCGGATTTACCTGGACGGCGCCTGCGCTCTCGCTTGCGCCCGCGACCAAAAAAAACGTGTCCTGTCCAATGAAGTCCGACTGTATGGAGCCGCCTGGATTTCTGGAGCCCGCGCCGGGCCTTCCCTCGTGGCCCACTCCGCCCAGGCGGCGCCGGAGGCACCGCCAGGGAGGGCCCGTCGCCGACCCGAGAGATCTGTGCGGACCTCTTGGAGCTCCTCCTCCTCCTCCTCCTCCTCCTCCTCCATTTCCTCCTTCTCCTCCTCCTGCTCCGCCTCCTGCTCCTCCTCCTCCTCCTCCTCCTCCTCCTCCTCCTCCTCCTGCTCCTCCTCCCTTCGCCTCCTCCTCCCCTCTCTCCTCCTCCGCCTCCTCTCCTCCTCCTCCTCTCCTCCTCCTCCCTGCTCCTGCTCCTTCTCCTCCTCCTCCATCATCCTCCTGCTCCTCTCCTCCTCCTCCTCATCCTCCTCCTCCTCCTCCTCCTCCTCCTCCTGCTCCTGCTCCTCCTCCCCCTCCTCCTCCTCCTGCTCCTGCTCCCCCTCCTCCTCCTCCTCCTCCCCTCCTCGTGTGTATGCCAGTTCCCTCTTCTTTCTGCGAGGGAGAGGTGCATCACGAGGGGCGAGCTCCTGGGGCTCGCGCGGCGCATGGCCCTGTGGGAGCTGCTGCCGCTGGAGGAGCTCCGGAGGGAGCGGGCCGCTCGCGAGGAGGGGCCCGAGGCGAGGGGAGCAACAGCTGCGCCCCGACCCCAGATGGCTAGACTGGGCGTTTACCAGGCTCTCCTGCGCAGTTCGATTCAGTCTTAAGTCGGGCCTGTCCCTCTACAGGGGGAGTATCCAGAAATCGTAAAAAATAGTCGGGGGAGGAGGTCTGGGCATTGGAGTTATCTTCCCAGCAGGCTGTTAGTGTTGTACCAGTCGATGCAGTGAGAAGAGATCCGCCTCGCACGCCCTTCATGCTGCGGCCGCAAGGCAAAACATGGGCCAGGGTTCCCTGTGGATCCCTCCTCTTCGACGAGGGACGGCTGCATGCCGTTGCCGCCAGGCTCATAGTGTACCGATCTTCCCTGAGGATCCTGCCTCGCGATTTCGGGTGGGGAACGCTCGAAGCAAAACAATTATTGGCGCTTCGCGTATCCACACCAGCCCACCCAGAAACGATCGCCAAAGGTTGGGTGGGCGCAGGAAGCTTGGAATAAACTTCCTCTTTGGGCGAATGTTTCTAGGTCCATGTCTACTCGGTTCGGAAATTAAGGAGATCCGAAAATCAAGGAAGTCCAGAAATTAGGTAAGTTCGGAATTAAAAGAGCTTCGGAAACTGTGGGTATCCAAGATTCAAGGAAGTACGGACATCAAAGTTCAGCAACGGGAGGTTCCGAAAACAACGACATGCTGAATATGCGGATATTCGGGAAAATGCAATTCGAAAGCCGAAGTTTGGAAACGCATCGGAATCCGAGTATGAGGACACGAGGGCGTTCTAACACACAAGAGGCCGATAGCCTCAACCTCGGGACAGTTGAGTCCCAGGAGAGGCCTCAGGGGCCTCAGGGCCTCGGGTACCAAAGAAAAGTGCTGCAGCTCTTCGAGCCGTTCTTCCAGTTGGGTGTGTTGGAACGCACTCGTGTCCTTATCCTCGCCATCTTCCTTTGATATTTGTTCTTGACCCTGATCCCTCATCATTCTCCTGCTCCTCATCTCTCTCTCTCTCTCTCCCTTTGGTTCGACAGGGTTCCGTCGGGGCCCCCAGTCCGGAGAGGCTGTCGCCCGACGACTTGGAGACGATCAGCACCGTCAGCCGAAGGAGAGGATGGCGCAAAACACGTCTTCACCGGTCTTGGCCAGGATCGGAACAGATGTGTGTTTGGCGCCTCCCTCGAGGATCTCAGCTGACAATGGTTGGTCGGTCCTCGAGAGCACCTCCGTGGCGGGGACGGTGTGTTTTCATCGCCAGGGCGGGGCATCCCGATTCGCGCTTCCTGGGCCGACCAGTTCAGCAAGTGCGCCTGCGCCCTTGCCCTCTGCCCCGGTCGCCCGTGGCGCTTCCAAATCGCCGCCGCCGGGCCCCCCCCAGACTCGTGCCATCGGGGCCTGAGGGACGATGGTCAGTGCAAACGGGGGTCAGCCAGGGCGCCAGATCCTGCAGGATCCTGCGAAGACCCCCTCTGGCTGACCCAGGTTAGCGAGCCGCTCGTGGCCGCGAGGCGGCCGCGCCTATTGGCTGACCCGGGTTTGCGAAGACCTGCGTTGCAGTTTTTTTTTTTTTCTTGCATTGCAGTTCTTGGTTTCCTGCTGACCCGGGTCTGGATTGACCCGGGTCAGAAGATCCCCGATGCCAGATCCACCCGGACTCGCGCCACCGTCTCCAGCCAGCGTTGACGACGCCAAGGCCGACGGCAAGGGCTACGGCGAGGGCGGCGGCCAGCGCCTCGCGAGTCGCCACGACTACGATTACGGATTACGGCGACTACAGCTACAAGGGCAAAGCCTACAAAGGTTACGAGCACGACGGCTACAAGCGCAAAGGCTGCGACTACGACGAGTACAAGGGCACAGG